TCACATAATAAAAGATGGTAAAAAATGTTGCAGAAAACACAGAAAAGATCTGATTGAGACTTTCCAGTCCAGTAGCTGTCCCATTGTCTGCGTTTGTATGAGAGTCAAGTCTTTCGAGGCAGCTCCATTTGCCCAGTTTCACTCCAGACCTCTATAGCACAAAATTCAGTCGTCATGGGACAAGTCGATTCACTCTCTGGATTAGAGAGGCCTATTCCTTTCCTACTCCATCCGAACTTTAAAAAAAAAAAAAAGTTTAGCATTTACATACACTTTAATTGTTGTATTGGCTTTGACTGCCAGGGGTTGTGCTATTTCTTCCCCCAAAGAAAGCTTTGAAATACACAGCAGAGGCTCAGCTCCAAGGGTTCAATAACATGAGATTGCAATTGTAGTTTAGTCATTAGGGCTCCAAGGCTTTTTTGACTGTGCAGCACAACCCAACCATGGAAACCTCCGACCTCGTTTCGTAATTGCCAGGGCAATGGCTGGGCGATGTACTGCTTGGAATTAGGGTTGAAATCTACACTATATTGCCAAAGGTATTGGGCATCCCAGTCTTAGTCCGTAGGGTTCAATATTAAGTTGGCCCACCCTCTACCGCTATAACGGCTTCAACTCTTCTGGGAAGGCGTCCACAAGGTTTAGGAGTGTGTCTATGGGAATGTTTGACCATTCTTCCAGAAGCACAATTGTGAGGTCAGGTACTGATGTTGGACGAGAAGGCCGGGCTCTTAATTCATCCCAAAGGTGTTCTATCGGGTTGAGGTCCAGCACTCTGTGCAGGCCAGTCAAGTTCCTCCTCCCCAAACTCGCTCATCCATGTCTTTATGGACCTTGCTTTGTGCACTGGTGTGCAGTCATGTTGGAACAGGAAGGGGCCATCCCCAAGCTGTTCCCACAAAGTTGGGAGCATGAAATTGTCCAAAATGTCTTGGTATGCTGATGCCTTAAGAGTTCCCTTCACTGGAACTGAAGGGCCAAGCCAATGCCTTGAAAAACAACCCCACACCATAATCCCGCCTCCACCAAACTTTACACTTGGCACAATGCAGTCAGGCAAGTACTGTTCTCCTGCAACCGCCAAACCCAGACATGTCCATCGGATTGCCAGAGAGAGAAGCGTGATTCGTCACTCCAGAGAACATGTCTCTGGACTTCTCGAGACCAGTGGCGGCGTGCTTTACACTACTCCCGTTACTTCCTGGAACCTCCTGGGTCTGCTTCCTGGAACCTCCTGTGTCTGCTTCCTGGAACATGTGACAGTGCACATGATCTGAGGGGAAAAAATGCCTTACCCTGAGATCTTTAAAGATTTCACAGTTTACAGATGAGATTTCCCAGGCACTGGTGATGAAGCCTTCCCAGGATGCATCTGTGAGGTCAGGGCTACATCACCAGTGCCTCACTCAACCAGGAAGTGGAAAAACCGTAGTTGTAAGTAAAAGAAAAAATGTTAAACTAATGAATGCAAGACGATTTCATATCGGCATGCTGAAGAGTTGTTGATGTGATTTTTAGTGAAAGGGGGTGAAGCTCATTTTCATCTTTTTTTTTTTTTTGTTTTTTTTTGGTATTCCTTTTTTTTTTTTTTTTTTAACAATGAAATGCTGTGTGGGGATTTGCTGTGTCATACATGCACCCCTGTAGTGTGCAGTATTTCAGCAACACAGTACCAGCAGCACATATAATATGCTAGTGACATTTTAACTATACATCATGTGTTGTACAGTGTAATGTTTCTTATAGTGGGAAACTTATGTCACTGGTGATAAATATTCATGCTGCCTTGTAGTGCCTTGTAGGTGATAAATATTCATGTTGGTATGCTGCCTTGGCATTTCAAAATGGGATTAGCCATAGGCAGTAGAAGCAAACGCTTCCTGTATGCAGCTGCAATGCGCATGCTCCCTCTAGTGGCCAACAGGCGTAAAATATTTCTCTGGCAATTTCTAAAGGAAACATTGGCATTTAAAGGAATATAATATACTTTTTACATTTTATTTCTTGTGTAGGCAGAAGATTGGCTGTAAGTCAAGTGGGTCTGGCCAGCAGATAGATTTTCTGCTGCAGTGCAATAATCTTCCCAATTCTACTATTAGCAGCATATTAGCAGTATAATGTATAGAGCAGTAACAATTCCTTTATTTTTAACAAAATTCATTTAAAGCATAATTTTTTTAATGCATCCACTGCTAGCAAGCAGTAGGTATATGCAAAAACATTTTTTTTTTTTTTAAAGTCACCAAAAATGGTTTTACTTACCTGTATCTCCACCGCGCTCTTCCGTCTGAAGATCTGAAAAATTCTCCAGCAGCCGCAAAGGATGATGGGGCGGGCGCATGTGCAGTACAGATCTTCGGCTGGGAGACGAGGAGAGACGCAAGGTAAGTAAATGCAGGCAGCCCAGCAGCGTTCACCTGCATAGACTCCATGGGACACAGACAACACAGCAGTCAGCGCTGGATCAGAGACCGGCAGCAGCGTTGGAGGGACTCCTGAAAACTACTGGAAGGAAGATGATGATCGGATCAAGAGGTATCATTTGAGGTAAGTCCTTATAGCAGAATGGGGGGAGGGGGGATTTTATCCTTTTAATGTAACTTTAAATATATTCCTCAGTTCCTCATATAAATCCACTTTGTGTGAACCAAAAGCCTCTGGAAACCCAGATATTGCTTTATAAAAGTTAGTGACATTACAGATACAAGACTCCTTACCTGGCACACAGAGAGGGAGCAGCAGTGATTGGTCCTCGTTACAGGAAAGTCCTGCACAGAGGTAAAGTGCAGGAGGAGTCTTATTCTGGATTAAATGGAAGTACACAAGTGACACCAAGTAAAAATGCATCTGGTTCCTGTATTTGCACAGTATTTGTTTAGGTCAGGTTTCTGCTTTAATGCTTTATGTAACCTTATTCTGCTTTAAATCAGACTGCAGATACTGATACATCACAGGAATTCGTAGGATGCATTATTGAGTTAAAAATTTAATATTGAGTTGACTTTGAGTTAAAGGAGAATTATGAGGCGAGTGATTTTCACTCAGCCTCATAATCTGAGCCGACCTCTGACAATGAAACTGTCACAGGTCGGCTCTGGATAGGCAGAGCCTGCTGTCAATCCTGCAGCTGGGTGGATCTCGACAGTAATGTCGGGATCTGTTCCTTCTGCGGCGTCTCAGTATGCTACAGCTCGCGGTATACTGAGCTTTGGGTCACGGGAGAACGCTATTTTGTGTTCTCCCGTGACCCTTAGGAGAACTATGGGGAAAAGCCTTGACCCCATAGTTCTCCTTTTTAAGAATGTTACAAATACCAAGGTTCATGTATGTTGACCTCTCTGATGTTCTCTTCTGTTCTCAGGTGAATATATAAAGACCTGGAGACCCAGGTACTTCCTTTTGAAGAGTGATGGCTCCTTCATCGGCTATAAGGAAAAGCCAGATTCCTCAGAACACAGTGTATCTATGCCACCTCTTAACAACTTCTCTGTGGGAGGTAAGCACCCAGTGCCTTTATATTCCTGGAGACATTACAGCTATACATATACCTACAGCTACATTGTCCTTTTCTTTTCAGAATGCCAGCTCATGAAGACAGAGCGTCCCCGACCCAATACCTTTGTGATACGATGCTTACAGTGGACGACGGTTATTGAGCGCACTTTTCATGTCGAGACGCCAGAGGAGAGGTACCAGGGCATTGGGTTACACAATGGCTTGACTGATTTATATTGCTGATTTCAACGGATTCCATTGATAATTGAGGCACTACAATGATGACATGTTGTTTTGTACTACATCAGGGAAGAATGGATGCGAGCAATCCAAACTGTTGCCAATAGCTTAAAGAACCGAGATTCTGAACTACAGCAGGAGGAGGACCCAATGGACTTCAATTATAGCTCTGTTGGTGATGCAACCAGCACAGAAGAGATGGATGTGGCAATATCGAAGGGGTGCTCCAAAGCAGTAAGTGGGAGGAGCTCTGAAGACACACCACATTATTCTGAAAAGTGTCTTTAAGAGAAACTTGTCCTTAAAAATAATACGGGGCTGCCATTTCTCTCCTGATTGAAGCGAAACTGCCACTTTGACCATTAAAATCCCCAACCCACCGATACTTGCCTCTCTCCACTCTGAGCGCCCTGCTCCATACCTGCTTTTGCCAGTTATAGATGAGCATGTAATGTAACCATCTCACAATTGAAGTTCTTGGGCCTGGGAAGTGGGGGGTATCATCATGCCCGAACATACTCATCTGACCAGGAGGAGAACATTAACCCCGTGTAAGCACTTCCATGGAGTTATACAGGGTTAGGAAATAGTGCTCCAATGGATCGTTGGGTAAGCTAAGCCTCAGCTGGACTGGTGGTGGTTATTCTTGGAGAACCTGGGATTTTGACCTGAGTCTTTAGGAGGATGGCTTTTAAGATGAGCATTTTTCTTCATACTTTGAGAGGGTGACCAGAATATTTGCAGCTATCGACTTAAGAAATGGCATGTTTTGGGTCAGCGACTCAAAAAATCAAGCTACCAAATGGTCCCTACAAACCTTTCACATGTTTATATGTATGCTCCTCATGATTGTATTTAACACATACTTTTCTTGTGAAAACTTTGTAGATCAGACTGTGCGGGTCACCATTTTTAAAACCTTAGCACACTGATAAGATACTTACACATTTTTACATGGATATGTAAAATAAAAAAAGATTATAGTTTTTATATATAAAACCAGACAATAACTGTTTGTTACCAAAACTTCTTAAGTTAACTTTCATTTTTCATTTGTGTAGACCATGAATGATTTTGACTATCTCAAGCTGTTGGGGAAAGGAACATTTGGAAAAGTGATCCTGGTACGGGAGAAGGCAACTGGTCGCTATTATGCTATGAAAATCTTGCGCAAAGATGTCATCATTGCCAAGGTGAGTGAACTGGGCGCGCACTTGGGGCTGCTATCTATTTATCTATCTATCTGCAGATAGATAGATAAATAGATATCTATATATATATAATGTACTCATTGGTCACTTTATTAGGTTTACTTATCTTACACATAAAGGGGTGTACACATGATTAACAGCAAATGAGCATTATTCAAGTACCACAGAGTCTTGGTGTTAAAGTCCAAATCTGGGCTAACGTTTTTGTTTTAAAATGGTCCCCAGGAGGTTTCAGAATAAAAAACAAAACAAAAGCAGCTCTGGACTTCTTCTGCAGCCCTGTCCCCCACAGTAATTTATTTTGGCCACTAGATGTGCTGGCATCCAATGAATGTAGGGTGTCACCAAGGTGTAATGATGCTGACATCATTTAAGACCACGCACCGCTGGTACAAGATGCCTGTTTGTCATATGACTGACCTAAAGACATCTGGAGAAGGTAACTATTTAAAATAATGCTGGGAGGTAGGGATTTGTAAAGTCTCTTCTGCCATAAGACATCTTCCTCTTCCCCCAGCAACATTTTCCATGTACACGGTACGGCGTATGTGCCCTTCAGTGTACACACCCAACCCATTCACAACATCTCTAAGATACCATAAAACGTTGTCTGTGTTAAATCAAAATGAGACAGCAGAAATAGAATTATCATGGGATGTTTTCCTTTTGTAATTCCAGGATGAAGTGGCCCATACAGTTACAGAGAGCAGAGTCTTGCAGAATACAAGGCATCCATTTTTAACGGTATGTAGCTTCTTTTTGGTACCCTGAAGGAAATATTTTTCTTCCCTAATCATGTATTTGTATTGTATAATTACAATAGAGCTGTATAGGCAAGGGATGCACCAATACAGAGTATTTTGGGCGGGTACTCATACTCTCCAAAATGCTCCCGATACCGGAACTTGGTGACGAGGGAGCATAAAGCTGGCTTTCTGGCCAATCAGGAAGCCAGGTGGTGTGTAATGACCCGGCTTCCTGATTGGTCGAGAAGCTGGCTCCATGCTTCCTCGTCACCTGGTGGTGAGCGAGCATGCAGACTGCTTCCCGGCTAATCAGGAAGCTAATCCTTAATGGGACATTCGGTATCAGCGAGAGCCGAAAACAAAGTCAGTACACGATACCGAAAAACCGGTATCGGTGCATCCCTAGTATAGACTCTTTAAATCTCTTCTATTCTCTAGTTTCTGATAAAACAAAACCCAAATACTTTGTCTTCATTTCTGAAGGTTGGAGAACTGCTAATAGACAATTTGGCTGTTCTAATGCAGATACTTGGTTGTCTGTCCCCATCCTGCCTGTGAAGGGTCATTTCACTGTAAACTGTAGATTTCAATTGTAAACGCATGTTAGAGACATTTATGTCTCACAGATCAGTGCAGAGGTTTGCTCATTAGTTTGAGTTCCCAGATCCTCACAACTAAGAGCCGTTATAATGGCTCCCACTCTCCCTGCTGGGTTCTTAGTTTAGTGTACTTTTATGATAAAGGTTCCTGCCAAGGTGGGTGGGAAAAAAGGCATTTTTAAGAGATGTATAGCTGAGCCTGTCATTCTCCACTTATAAAAGAAGTCCCTTTTGGCTGGACTGACTCGTAAAAGGTCAATAGTAGACCCTCTAAAGGTTTGCCACACTTTACTACATTAGTTATGTGGTTGGTTTAGATGCAAATAGAGTTAAGTAGTTATTTTCCCATATCATACCATCCGTAGTATCCAACTATTGTGCGATTCACTGTTCTTTCATATCTGTAAATTTAAAATAACTGTATACTGGGTAACAGATTTATTAAGACAGATAGATAAGCTGTTGTAATTCTGATGAATAATTGACAGAATTTGTCTCTGTAACATTGTGTTGAAATGCAGAACTTTCCCTGTCTCGTGAGTGCGCGCTGATTTTCACTGTCTTCTCTTTCTTCTAGGCTTTGAAATACGCCTTTCAGACAAGTGACAGGCTCTGCTTTGTTATGGAGTATGCTAATGGTGGAGAGGTGCGGACATTTTTTTGTGGTTTAATGCATGCATGCCAGTTATTGAGAACACAAGTCTCATTTCAATGTGTCTGAAGTATAAATTTAGCATTGCCCTTGGCAACCAGGCGGCTTCCAGCTGTCAGTCAAGGGAAGAAGGTGATTTGGGACAAGGAAATTGCGAACTGTTATGTTTTCCCAAAGGAAACTATAGTGGTTTCTGGTCAATTTAATGTTACATTTTGTAGCTTTAGATTATAAACACACACACACACACACACACACACACACACACTTTTTCCCATGGCTTTTGTGTTTGCAGTGCATGTTGGGCTGTCTTAATAAGAGTCCAGCCATAGCTCTGTGCTTGATGATTGCTCTGGCAAACGGAAGATCAGACATCACAATCTCTGAGAGGATCAGGAAGAGCAGGATGTCCCTCCTCTGAATTATTCAGAGTGGATGTCCAGACATCCTGCTGTTTAGGTCTGCACAATAGTCAACTAGCTATCTGAAAACCTGGAGTACATGACTCACGTGTGGCACCTGCTCGCGTCAGTAGGGCTCCTCACAATACACACAGGCATTTATATGGTAAAACTCTAGATAAAATCACACGGTTTATTTACTCAACATTACATTCCCAGCAAGAAACGAAAGTGCATTTGCTGGAAGGCAGAGAGATGTTCTATATTAAATCCAAGTACAAACAGAGAGACCGCTATTGGTGCAGTTGGTGGACATAAAGGTTCACTGCACTGCCACTACAATACTGTATATTTGTACAAAAGGGGACATTCAGGTTGCTGGATATGTGGTTTCAGCCATGTTTTTGATGGGTAATTTAGGTTTAATAAATAAAAATGTTGTTCAGACTTTTACTCCTAAGAACCATACTGGTGATATATTGTCGGTGACAAGTTTATTCCTCCCTGCAGCTGTTCTTTCACTTGTCTCGTGAACGAGTTTTCACAGAAGAGAGAGCACGATTTTACGGTGCAGAGATTGTGTCTGCCCTGGAATATCTCCACTCCAGGAACGTGGTGTACAGGGATATTAAGGCAAGTAGAATGTAATATGTTGTCCTCGTGAGACTTATGCCCTTTGAGGCTGGTAAGGTTGTTTGGGTGTCTGCAAGGGTACAGGATGCATACATCAAACCTCTAAGGTGTAAATGGGATATCGACATAAAGTTGAATTGCAAAATGTGTGCATTGGCTGGCTGGTGCAAACAGCCGGGAGTCTGTATATTATGACCCCTGCCATAAACACACCACCTCTGGGGCTTGCTTAACCCCTTCGTGACGGGAGACGTACAGTGTACGTCCCGTCACAAAGTGGCTATATGACTGGCCACGTACACTGTACGTGCCGAGTTATATTAGCCTCTGTAATGCTGGTAACTGCTGATTCTCAGCAGTTCCAGTCATTAATTAATGCCTCACTATTGAGACATTCATTAATGAAATAGTTAAGCTTTTTTAAAAGCTTCTTTCTTTCATTAATGAAAGAATGAAGCCTTTACATTCAGATACGGGTTCGCTAAATAGCGATCCCGTATCTGACAGCTGAAGATAGCAGAGAGGTAGCAGTGACTCACCTCTCTGCTATTCGTTTTGACAGCTGGAAAGCCTGGCCCGATGTTAAATGATACATTTCAACCACTAGATACAAAATGTATCTGAGTGAAATGTATCAGTTTTGATCGTCTAGGAACGATCAAAGACCTTTAGTGAGATCTGATTCTGACATGCTGTCAGGATCAGTCTCTAAAGTTATTATTAGCTGTTCCTAAGCTTGGAGCAGCCTGATAATAACTAAAAAATGTAAAAAGTTAATGTATTAAGCAGTCATAGTGATTGCTTGATAAAAACTGAAAAAAAAAAAAAAATATTTTTTTTTACACTTATTTTTTTTTACAAAGTGTAAAAAAAAAAAGTGTACAAATAATTAGGAAAATAAAACGTTTATATATAAATATATTTGTATACTATAATTATTATTAAAAAAATTCT